CGGGATGAACTAGACCTGACGAACTCCGGCCAACACAGAGCCTGCAGAGGCGAGGAATTGGGGGACGAAAGTCCAGCAGATCCGGGGGGCGCCAGGTTGGGGAAGGCTGGGGAGCCTCGGGGGGGCAGGGCGAGGGGTCACGCGATAGGCTAGCCCTGGAGCGAAGCGAGGATGCTCGGACCCATCCTCCCCGCCTTACCTTCCGCCTGTTCCAGGGAATTCATCGCGCCGGACGGAGGGAAATGAGAGCGCTCCGAGCCGCGCCGCCCGCTGCCTCGCAAAGCCGGGAGCTTCCCTCCTCCGGCGCTCCATCCCGCGACGTAAGCTCTCGAACGTCCTTCACCGCCCTAGCATCATCGACGCTTCCCATTGGGCAGGCTTCCTCAAGCCCCGCCCGTCGCCCAACAAGCCTCGTCGTCATTGGGTCCACCCCCTTGTGGGCAAGAAGCTGGAGGCGGCTGGTTCGCGGCTGGAAGGACGGGCAAAGAGGAATGCGCACGCGCAACTTCCACGCTTTTTTTCTTTTTAACCCCTTCCTCCCCTCCTGGCGCCGGCTTTCCTTCTCCAAGTTTTTAGGGAGGTTGGGAGAGGTTTAAACAAGCTTGTGCTCCCGGGAAGCTGTGCAGTTTTGCTCTTCCTGCTGTGCAGAAGTTGGACTGCCGTGAATTTATTAAATTATCCGGTTGATACATGAGTGAAGGAGGGATGAACATATACCCCCAAAGGCTTCCAGGGTAGTTAACACTTCGAAGCAGTGTTTTTTAAGAGACTTTTACAGCAGTAAAAAATGGTGTAGATTGAGAAAACCACTTTTAAGATGGGTGGACTTCAACTCCCAGAATTCCCCAGCATGCTGGATGGGGAATTCTGGGAGTGGAAGTCCACCCATCTTAAAGTCGCCAAGTTTGAAAAACACTGCTTCAAAGCAAGCTGCAAAATAATGAATGATATCGCCAACAACCTCTTAAGAGTCATTGCAAAGAATCTTATGAAATCTCCGCCAAGTTATTCTTGCATAAACTTCTTAGCTAGTTCTGCTTTGGTAAAAAGGCAGCAGGAATGTAAGGCTCTTGGATTTATTTACTTACTTACCCAAAGTGAGTGATTCAATTGATAAACTGCCTCAATCGCTGAAGCAACTCTACACGACACACAATGAATTACAAAAGAAATGATAATCCGAAACAAATCCAGGTTATATTACCATACCTGGGAAGGAAATTGCAATTTACTTACACTGGGATTTTTAAAAATCACCTTTCTAGGGGCTTACACTTATTTCTTAGTGTTAAAATTCCAAGCCCCCAGAAATAGGAACGGGTAGATCTTCCAAATCGGTCCATTATTCCTAATAAACTTAGGAAAGGTGATGCTTTGAAGTAATACCGTTATGCGCAACGGCGCCCAGCTACAATCTGCACCATTTTTTACTGCTGTAAAAGTCTCTTTTCTCCTGCCAAGCCCTGCAACTTCAACCCTCCCCAGCTTGGGTCTTCCAAAACTAAATGTGGAAGCCAGGATTTCTGCAGCCCAGACCCGCGAGCCCTCATACACATCCCCACGACCCCAGGGAAGCCTAATTTCCACGGGATACGGGTCTACACCGTTCCACTTCCAGGGAACCCTCCAGGTGGAGGAAGCCTGGCGGTTCAACTACAACTCCCGGCATTCTCATCGCCGCCCACTGGCTAAGCCTGTTGGGAAATAGAGTCCAATCCTTTCGGAATGGCGGCAGGTATCCCTCCTTTCCTTCGAGTCTAGCAGGAGGATCGACTTGGCGGCACCGTTCGCACCTCAAGTAGCTAATTAATCCACGGCCGGTCCAATTATCCCCTGGCCCGGTTTCGTCCAACCTGCTGGGCCGCCAACCGGCCAACCCCCTTTTAGCTTCCCTGATTCGGTCGCAGCGTGTCACGGACCAAACCAGGGCTGGGCGAACCACCCCTCTGGACGCCCCGAGATCGCGATCCCCCCCCCCGCGTT